CTTCTGGTGATCACCTTGTCCCTTTCTAAGTGCTTTCCAATGCGCTGCTTGATGCTAGGGTTTTCCCAGGTACTGATGTCAAGCTGATTGCCCTGTAGTTTCCTGGGTCTGCTTTCCCCCCTTTTTAAATTATAGGAAGAATATTGCTCTTTTTCAATCTTCTGACCCTTCCCCTGTATTCCAGGAGCTCTCAAAGAGTACAGTCTGTTGTAATTCTGTTGTAACCTAAGTAGAAAAGAAAAGAAACGAATAGGTGTAGCTCAGGGTTGAACTGTGGAGTCCTTGGGGTTCTCTGAGCTTGGCTGTTTTCTTGCGAATGTTTTGTTACCCGGTGTAGCTCAGGGTTGAACTGTGGAGTCCTTGGGGTTCTCTGAGCTTGGCTGTTTTCTTGCGAATGTTTTGTTACCCGGTGTAGCTCAGGGTTGAACTGTGGAGTCCTTGGGGTTCTCTGAGCTTGGCTGTTTTCTTGCGAATGTTTTGTTACCCGGTGTAGCTCAGGGTTGAACTGTGGAGTCCTTGGGGTTCTCTGAGCTTGGCTGTTTTCTTGCGAATGTTTTGTTACCCGGCTAGGCAACGTCTTCAGCACTGAAGATGTTGCCTAGCCAGGTAACGAAACGTTTGCAAGAAAACAGCCAAGCTCAGAGACCCCCAAGGACTCCAAAGGAAAGAAAAGAACAGAATCATGGAGATCACAAAGGGAACTGAGTCAACCGATTTCTCTCCTCTTCCTTTCCTTTCTTTATAGAGGCGACTAACACCATATTTATTCCTGTTCTGTTTGGGAAGTGGCGGGGGGAGGGGGTGTCCTGTTATTTCAGCCTTGCGCTAAAAGGGTCAAGGTGCTCCCAGGATTGCTGGATGAGCAAGCAGTCCACTGCCATTGCACAATTCTGATAGAGCACCATTTCATCGCCAGTGGCTTCAAACCAGCACCCCCCCCAAGGATGTAAAACAGTGATATCTACAAATCTTGTGCTATATAGGCAGATGTGTGCTTGTAGTGGGGACCTCTGCATGCTGCTAGAGCAGTGTTTCCCAACCTTGACAACTTGAAGATGTGTGGACTTCAACTCCACATATCTTCAAGTTGCCAAGTTGTGGACTTCAAGTTGAAGTCCACACATCTTCAAGCTGCCAAGGTTGAGAAACACTGTGCTAGAGGAACCCAAAAGAAACCCCCATGATTAAAATCGCACCCGTGTGACTCTTGTGCAAATCTGGTGATCACCGGGTTCTGCCTACTCTTTGGGGGGACAATGGCAGAATGGCAGTCGATGAGACAGACTGGAAGGGAAGGTGTGTGCCTCCATCAGCCTAAAACAGTAGGCTCATCCTCGACCCCACCTACTGTTGCTCTCCTGACATCACCCCGTTGGGTGGGAAAGTGGATCAGATTTTACACACCTTGCAGCTGGATGTTGTGACAACTTAAGTGGGAAAACACAACTTTAACATCGGCCCTTAAGCTGTCTCGTTCAGGGGCTGGGATGAGATGAAGGCAACAGTACTGGGTCTCAGCAGGAAGAAGAGTTGCCAGGATATATTTATGCCATGGTTAGGAACCAGTGGGGACATCGTTCTGATGGAACAGCTTTCAGAGGAACCGCTGTGTCATCTTTTTGCAGACTCGGCTATATTAGTTAATGAATACTTCTTTGAAAAAAATGAAATCTTTCTCAAGCTACATGTCTAATTAAGTGACTCCCTTAATCAGTATTTGGGATTTTAAAAATAATTAACAGTCCTAAATAGAAATGAGATTTGGAGGGTGTGTATTTCCAAGCAGGCTGGCTGGGGAATTCTGGCAGTTGAAGTCCACACGTCTTAAAGTTGCCAAGGTTGAAAAACCCTGGGTTAGTCTAAGCCATTTCCTGGTTTGCAAGCTATACTAAGCTAAAGTGGGGTTGGTTATTTGAGGCCTTACATGAACCATTAAGATCTTAAGTCAGA